TTTTTTCCACTGGAAAAATTGCTCATGGAATCTTCCTTTACTTAGGAAGCCATGGAAGCTGAGGAAGAAGCTGAAAGCTTGGGGCTTCTCTTGAGCTGAAGATCTGAGGCTGCAAAGCAAAAGGATAATGAATACTACAATCAATTACAAAAGATCCCTCACCAGGAATCCAGATTTGTTTTGGTGGTAATTTATTATAGAGGGACCCCTATTTGTTTGAGGGGGGGGGGACCCCCTTTACTAATCAGGATCCAACATTAAGCAGAATGTCATGAATTGAACATGACCAAGACTGCTATGAATCTCAGGCAGGACATGGCAGATACCCGTACAGGCACATTGCGAAGCTGGCTCAGCAAAGTATCTCTGTTTTACGACCCCATCGTTTCACAGCAAATGTCGCGTGGTGTCTTTCGTTTTGATCTCAGCTGATCCGTGGCCCCAGAGGAGCGGAAGACGGGCGTGAAAAGGCTCAGAGCTTGGCACGGCGTTGCACGGAAATCGCTTTGATCTTCTTACTCTGTTTAATTTCAAGCCATTAGCTTAAGGAGCCACAGGGCGCATCGATACAACATCATCTACCGTCACAACAACACGTGCACTGTACCACATGTGATTACATATTCGACTGTAGTTCACCATTCTTCCCCCTGCATTCTTGCTGGAGAAAGTGCCAACATGCGAAATTGGAGCAGTCTCCAATGAATATTGGAGCTATTGTGAAGGCATTGGACAGTTCATCAAATCTGTGATTCTGTGTGCTCGGAAAAGTGACCCTGCGTCCCTTGGCTTAGCTGGCTTTGTTCTCGCCAAGAGTCCATGCCACTTTCTCCGGCATAGAAGCCTGGCAAACAAACCAAACGTGAACCCAAAAAAGCATCTTACATTGTCGGCCCATTTTGGTACACAACTGCAGCTGAACAAAAAACACCATCATAGCAATGCCCCCACGACATTGGGTCTGAACCCCTCCTAGCTGCCGAAGAAAGTTGGAAGCATCCCCAGGTTCTCGCATCATGGGAGGCGATCGCTCCACACTGCGGCGCACATACTCAAGCATGGACTTCCTCAGCAATGTATGGAATCAGGGTGCACCTCGATCTCTATCTCCCCACTTTTTTGCTTATACTCTTGGGCTCTCAACAGCTGACCACCTCTCAACCTTCCGTCATCCTAATGATGGTGCACAAATAGTCCTATTAGGTGGCAACTGTCATAGCATATCCCAGCATGTGCTTCAAAGTCATTGCCGCCTGCAACCCGATATACTGAGGATAGGGGATTATCTATATCTATCTATCTATGTCTATATATATATATTATGTATGGGTATGGGATGATAAAGGTACTGTATGGCACAATGGCATCTTCTTATGGTGGCTGCGTGCCTGTTCTGCGCTTTGACCCAAAGAACCTCATGAAAAAGCATCCTTGCCTGCACAAGTTCGCACGTCAATTGTGTAAACCTGTTTTGACGTGCTTAAACTCTGTGCGGCAAAGTGCATGCATTCTTCCACTGCTGGACCTCGAGCCCGGAGCTCGTGAAAGGCTTTGGTGATGACCGTCAGCGAGCCAATGCGGAAGGCGTCCGCAGGCACCTCACCTGTCAAGATGGAACGCTTCTTTGACCTTCCGGTCTTTCGATTCATCTTTCAATGCAAAATGCTCAGATTCGGCCACAACCCATGCACTAACAATCCCCCAAGAGGTTCACAACCGACAAACATCCTGCTGCAAATCGAGTTGCTTCCATCCCGGCAAGTGTAAGAGAAAAGGACTTCTGTGTTGGTCTTTGGGAACTTCGGATCGTGATTGTCCAGCAAACGTGGGATGCCCCGACAAAAGGCTTCCAGTAATTTGGCATTCCAGTGCTTACGCTTGCTGAAAGCAATCCTTAGCAAGAACAAACAGGGAATGACACATCGTAAACACTACTTTAGAGTCATTATACATAATAGTTGTTTATATATTAGGCTGGCTAACCTGCCTGAAAACATGTGAGCCTCGTTCCCGCCAAGGATCATACTGTTTTGAAAATTGCGAGGTGCCAAGGATCGGAGACGATTCGGGCGGTAGAGCTCCTGTTGGCATGCATTTGTTGCTCTGGGGTCACGAAGCTCCTTTTTCTTGACTTGGGAATTACTACCCATGATGGGGGTACAACAATTTCCTTGAGCAGGGTCGCGGCTAGTACAAAACTTTAGCGATACTGCATCAGCCTTCAGACTGCACTTGGAGCGCAGGCATCGCCAAATCAATTCTGCCCCGAGTTGACTACCACACCTTGAATCACACCCACTGTTTTTCCTGATCCCTTCCCATCAGTCCTGTGCGGAAAGCTCGAAGTATTGGTCATGACGAAATTCCAGCTTGGAAAAATTCCACACCATTGTGCCTGACATGGGGAATCCTGTCGAACTGAACATGCACGTCCCTTCAGTGACAATCACGGAGGTGCGGCATGGGGGCATGGGGGAAAATGTTGCGGCAAAATGGCCACCCCTTCAGAACTTCTGACCCACCTAAAGAGCAGCGGTCCATAGTTGGAATCCAGCCCTTGCAGAAATGATCTGCAACTGCATTGAGCAGTTCTTCATGATACACTCCTCTGGTCGCGCACATCACATTGTACAACCAGTCGGGACATTTCAACGCATGACACGACGACTAAATCGGCTCAGGAACAGAACGCATGCCCATATGAGCAGTGTCAAAAACCGGTCTACGATCTGTTATACTCATGACTTGCTTCCGCCAATGCTTGCGCGGAGCTTCCGCGACCTGCGTTTTGGCTTCCGCGGGCCATGTTTGGTTGAAATCCTCTTCCGCGCCGCTTCCGCGACGTATTTCTCAAAAGTGCTCATAGGTTAGACAAATCTCCTTAAAAATCCTTAAAGTATAGAGGCGTATATTATTTGTCAAGAAGATCACATATGAACTTCCGCAAAGCTTGGGCGATGATGAATTTTACCATATATACGACCGCAGTTTTGGCTCCGCGGCAAATTGGACTGAGTTTACAAGTTTACTTAAACTGTTCGTGGGAGGTTTTTGACGCTGCTTATATGGGCAATGCCTGTTCCCGACGCCTCCTGATTGATTCAAGAAGCAGCCTCATGCAAGCCCTGAATGCGCGTAGCACGTACGTACACAATCAGCTATATATTATGATCATATTTTGGAGAAAAGGGCAAAGAGAGAGGTAGAAGGGAAAGCAAAAATATACTGACAGTACACATGCCCTGCATGAGTTTCACGCATTGCAGTATATAACCCTCCATCATTGCAACACACTGTCAGGCCGCTCGTCCGGAGTCCTGCCCGCGCATAGGTCCAAACAAAGTACGTGAGATTGATGGGATGCATCCGCTCCAGTCGTGTGCACAACAGCCGTGTACATGCTTCAAAGAACTCGTCATCTGCGAACAGCTGACGGCTGGCCTCAAGCCACCGTTGAGTTTGGCGTATGCCTGCTATCAATCAAAGACCGACCGTCGAGTCTCGTCCCTCAATGTACTAATGCCTCACTGGCATGCCTCACTGACATTATTCCATAGAAACCCATTCATAGTGAAAGTGAGTGTTGGATAGTGTTGGGGCACTGTTCAAAACGACTATATACTTTCCACAAGACTTGGCTCAATTCGCAAGGAGTGGTTCATGTGGAGATTTGAGGGGTATACAAAATAGTGTTTGCATTGGGGCCAGGCGGCCTCAGCATCAGAGCTGAAGAAACTCTTGGAAGCGCTAGACTCCCTGTTCTTCTCGCTGGTATCTTTCCCTCCGAAGAACCAAAAGCAGCGATACTGATAGTCATGCCACGACAACACTCGTGGCAGCCAAGATTCCTTCGGGTGACATGTGTTGGTGATTGTCGACGAGCCCCAAAACATTCTATTAAAACATGTGCAAAACACCAAAAGTTAAAAGGACCTCATCGTCCCCACCCCTTCTATTTGATCAACAACTTGGCTTCCAAAGGTCGATTCTGTCAAAAGATTGGAATGTGTTAATCAGGTTCTTGAATATGATAGACCTTGATCCTGCAAAGCACTATAGACTTTAACCATCTTTAACTACCAAAGTCTTTTGACACAAGTGCGGAGGGCCCTGTTCAAAAAACTTTAACGCTCAAGTGAGTCTCAAACTCGTAGCATGCTCTTCGTGCCAGCTCCTCCGCTGAAAAACCAAAGTCATCTGCATGACCTTCCCGCATGATCGATTTCAATTCGAAAGGTGTGTAGTTCCAAACTGGGCCATCCTGAAAAAAATCGCTGCTCAGGTCAACGGGTCTCACTTGCGCAGTGGACCCTGTAGCTGGGCACTGATAGGTTGTTATCCTTGGTCCAAACTGTTGCACAAACCATCTTGATCTAGCAGCAGGGCCCAACATTTCATGGGTTGCATTTCTGATCCACTGGGAAGCCCAGGAAAGGAAACACAAACTAAAAGCGATACGGACGAAAACAAGCAAAAGGCACAACTAAATGACTTCCGCGTACAGCTGCATACGTATACACAAATGATCATAAATGCAACTGTTCATGTACAATGTACATAGTACACAGCGGCTGAAAATTCAGCCTGGCAGGCCCCCAAAGCCACAAAGCAAAGAAGTATTACCCAAAAAGCAATCCATAAGGTGTCAATAGACTTGAGGCCAGGGGGGGGGGCGAAAGCTAGCGCTCCAGAATGGGAAAGTGGAGGGCAGCGAGGTAGGAAAAAACACGGCGCTCTTTTTGGAGGCAGGGGTGAAGAGTCCTTTATATGTGGCTCTTTGCCCGGATCCTCCTGCGAGAGAAGAGAGAGAAGAGAGACGGAAAGACGAGAGACAGAGAGGAGAGAGAGAGAGAGAGAAGAGAGAGATGAGAAAGAGATGAGAGAGATGAGAGAGATGAGAGAGATGAGAGAGATGAGAGAGATGAGAGAGAGAGAGACAGTGAGACAGTGAGACAGTGAGACAGTGAGACAGTGAGAGTGAGCGAGTGCGGCCGCAAGATACGCAACGCTAACCGCATGCCAAAGAGCGACGACAGGACGGAGTCGAACTTGCGAAGAGGGAGGAGGGAGGGAAGGTGGGAGGAAGACAAGGAGGAGGAGAGGGGAGGTGGGGTGGGGAGAGGGGAGAGGGGAGAGGGGAAAGGGGAAAGGGGGGGGGGGGTCTTCGACCTGAAAAATCAGGGGTTAGGATTTGCACCCGGTCGAAAGAAACCTTGCTATCGCAAGAGTAACTCCAGCTAGCTTCGCTAGCTTTCGTGAATAGCCAGCCAAAAGAAACCGAATGAAAGTACGCATTCAGATTCACCATGCATGACAGTACTGAGCCTCTCAGCTTGCCAAGAATCCCTCTTGATTCGTGGTACCAGTATGGCTCACAATTCACTTGCGGATGGGCCATTCTTTCAATCCAGCCATCACTGAGAGAACGGATGTTCAGGGAATTCCATGCCCAATATTCTTGATATTCTTCTTCAGAGCCACCATCTTGACTCATGACAGGTAGCGACACTTGCTGATCCTCCTCGACGAGATCCTCTGAGACATAACGGTAGTAGCCTGGCGCCGCGCCGGCAATGCGCCCCGACACAGGCGCCAGGGCCACTGGCGCAGCTGGCGCAGCTGGCGCCCGGCGTGAGGCTGAGATCCACGTGCGTCGGGGCTCCGATTCTTTGCTCTTTGATTTGTAGTAGGAAGCGACTTGACCTCGGTGCACGGGACCCACTTTCGCATTTCAAGAATCTATCCAATAGTGATGTCAATCTTGGTTGTTTGGTCTGTGATTTCTGGCAACTACAGGCTCCTAGCCCAGACCGACACTCCAAACACCAAAGCGAAATGGACCTCGCCTGTTCCCTCACCATCAGAGAAATAGGGGCTGTCCACCACATTCAGTCCTTGGCACCCCGCTGAAGAATCTCCGAATAGCTTGGATCCTCAATTAGGTCCTCAAATGTCTTATATAGGTAGGAACAAGAACGATAGTAGGGGCTCCTGGCATCGCTACTAGGAGCGATCGGACGCTTCTTGTTCAATTGTCTCTGCAAACGACTCATTGACCGAGTCTCCGGTGCATGCAGCGTGAAGCATGACGGACATCACCGGACTCCCGCGGGCTTCCCAAAGGCATTGTACTAGGTGTTGGCTTTGTCTCAAGTTAGTTATCCTGAAGTGGATAGACTATGAGACAATCCGGAGAAAAACAAAGCTCCATCAGCTCCATCTTTGTACTCTAGGAATCTTGGAACTGCTACAGTATTTGCTCATGCTGCATGCTCTAATGCCACGCAGTGTGTGTTGCAGCACAACTGTGCATGTGTGCATACAGGCATACGAGACCAAGTTCAAGCTGGAGGCATAGGCCCAAGCATTTGCTCAAACTGCACCATATGCCCCAATAAGTGCTGCTAGAAATCAGGCAATGTGCTCTTTGAATTCATGCAGGTATCATCAAATGGATGCCAGAATATTGAAAGGGTTCTGGATGGTTCCTGAGAAAATAAATAAGGATTCATTTTTGCTTTTCTCCTGTGCATTCGTGCCTTCGACATCAATCAGCAACACCCCGCAATTTACAAGCCCGATATGAAAGTGTAAAATTCCGCTCATGGATCTCATTCAAGAACTGGCTTGGGGCCAAGAATCAGCTGTCTTTCCCAGCTATATAATTTGTAAAACCATGATAAAACTGCTCTTGAGAATTGCCGTGAAACGGGTCACAAACCTCAAATATTGCATGCGTGCGGATGGCACAGCTTTACTTTAGAAAGGCCTGTCAACTGATTGCGAGCTGACGATTTGGGATTGCAAGCACACCAAAAGAACTCCCACTGAAATGGCTCCCCGGCATACATGGGCGCACGCCGCAACAATGAAGCACCGCAGTGCTCCCAAAGTAAAGGGGCCAACAAAGAGGCAAGCACTGCCCCAAACGACCTGCTTGGTGGGAGAATCAATGGCAGCTGGTGCGCTTGTGTCAAGCGACAAATTGCCAGGGCCAATCAATAAAAACAAGTCAAACGCAAAGAACATGTCGCCTGATGCACTGCCGTTGCGGCATAGCCTACCTAAGCACCAGTGAACGTTGTTGTCAATTCTGAACAAGACCACAATAATCCACCATTCGCATTATCAGTGATGCCCACAGGAGTTTGGCCTTTTCGCTCTAGTCCGAGTCCATGACGGCCAACAACGTGAGCAGCCACTTGCGGCCCTTTTGAGCCCGCACATCGAGTTTGAACTTGGGCAGCCCATATTGTTGCAACATTCCTGGCAATGAAACTGGTTTCAAACAAATAAAGCACCGTCAGGATAACCGCTAGAACAACACAGTGACCTTGTGGCAAATATCCAGGGCAGCTTGTAATGAGGTTCATCGACACATTGTGAATCCACCAACGAAGGAACGAGATACGTAGAAAATCAATCCAGTCTCGGGACCAAGCCATATCCCGCTCTGCAGCCATACCAAGCAATCGCAGCCAAAGGCGCCTAATACCCAGCGCTTTCTTGGTCCCAACAAGTGCACAACAAAACGGTGAATTGGGAAACGATTGGTCGAACAAAAGCACCCATGGTGGGCAAAATATATAGGTCAACAAAAAGAGCAACAAAATGCAACTTGTGCGAGGTTCGCCTGCGCCAGCAGGAAGCCTTCAGTCTCTAGCCTCAAGGAGTGAATTGAATGACTGAATTGCCCATGTGCAGAGCAAAACATGTGCCCAACTGGTATATAGTTCCTTGACTTATTACCTACAAGATCCTAACAAGCAAGTACCCTTGGCTCGAAAATGCGTAATTAACCACCAATCAGTGTCCCAAGGTAGTAAAGGCACTTGCAGTCACTTGGATTCTGACGGCACAGGCCGTTCACCTAGCCTCAGTCTCGTTCTGATGCAAATATTGCAGCCCTTGGCCATGTGGCCCACGTCACTAATGCCGTCTACAGTCTACAGCCTCGTGCTATAAGAATGTACAATCTGAATCATAGCTGCAACAATTCTTTCAGAGCTGTGCAACAGAAGCATGAAAGAAGCTTTTGAGAAGGAGAAGTGGCTTACACTCCCTGGGATGATCATAGTCATAGAATCATACAGAAAAACATGGACAACCACCTGTTTGTAGAGGACAATGGTCATCCAAGGGGCTCTTGTCCACTTCCATGATGCTGCAGGGAGTGTAAGTCATCTTAAGATTGTGTTCTTCCAAACTTCTGCCTCTCGGCACCCGACAGCCGCACCAAAACACCTTATTCGGTCCAAGCTTCACCACTTGATTCTTCAGGACGTGCCGTCTAGCTATGAGACTTTCTCAAAAGTCTTACAAGCCTGACTATCACGTTGAGCTAAGGTTGACGAATAGACACAAGTAGAGCTAGAAGACTGGAAACTGGAAAAAGAGGTTCGATTCGCTCTTTAGATTTGTGGGTGACAGTTGACCAGCTGCAATTCCATTGGACGACAACTCGACCTCCAAATGTGATGAAGAGGAGCCAACTTGTGATCTTCGCCAAGCATAAAATGCCAAAGTGGAGCCATGAAGCTTAGATCCATGACATTCTTCAGGAGAAAGAGGGTACTGGCACTCAGCACTGCCAAACCCAACGTCCTCAAACACCAATGTTGCACTAAGGACAGCCATGTTGGTGGATTGATATGATAACTTGCACAAAGTAACTTTGCTTCAATCTGTCTTGAAGTTGAACCTTTTGCTAAAGGCAAAGGCTCTCCAGAAATAACCTGCCGTCACTATGCCGTCACTATATAATTTGGTTTAAACTCGGAATCTCTGACAAACTAATTTGTACAAAAGGAAATGAGGCCATCAACACTCCGTAGACAATACGGGAGGCCGTCATCTCATCAAAACAAATCCTGCGTGTCGGTCGCTCCTGAAGGTGCCACCGTTTAAGCGGTCACGGCCTGCTGCACTGCGCAGCACGCCGCAGCACACCTGCCGCGGGTGCAACGAGTCCTGATCACCCTAAACTGCGCCCCAAGTGAGACAGGATCACTGCAGCCATGATGAGCGGAGCCTTGGCGAGCAGAAAAAGCGTCGCACAACCAGGGTATATTAAATGATGCATGGATGGTTCTGGCATATATTTTGCACAGCCTTACCTTGCCCTTCGACTGACTGATGCAGAGTCGCAGTAAGGGACTTCAGGCAAACACTGATTACAATCTACACACATACATCATAATTCATAACTATATAGTCATGCACGGCGATTGTTGATGCTCGTCAACATGATACTTCCTCATGGGGTGCCCTGCAATGGAAAAATCTGCCAACCGTGCAGTCGCCACCACGTAAGCAATCTGGCGAGTTACCAGGTGCTTGAATGATCTTGAAAGGATCGCACACAAGCGAAGGCAGGTATGAGAATGATTGAGAAATATTGATAATGTAAAGAGTCTAAACGTATGAAATGGGTCTGCTTGTATCTCAAACAAGAATAGGTCAAAAGAAAAGTCAGGAGCTCATCTTCCCTGTTTCACCACTCTCACCCTGGCCAGCTCTTGTTTGTGTTGATGCTGGCACCAATGGGGCAAAGGGATGTTTGCTTTGACATAGCATAGCGAGCCTGGAAGCTACTCCAGCCAGCAAAACCCCAGGCCGCACGGCCCCAATCCGTCTGGCGGAAGGCAGGAGAAAAGTGTGAAAAAAAAGTCCTGCACCACCGACATAGAGTTGACTAAGGAGCCCCTAATAGCTTCTTGCTCCTAGTAGTAAGGCACTTGTTTCTAATAGCAAACATTGTTACTACTAGTAAGGCACTTGTTACTAGAAGCGATGCACTTGTTCCTAGTAGCAAACATTGTTACTACTAGTAAGGCACTTGTTACTAGAAGCGATGCACTTGTTCCTAGTAGCAAACATTGCTCCTACTAGTAAGGCACTTGTTACTAGAAGCGATGCACTTGTTCCTAGTAGCGAACATTGTTACTAATTACTAGCAAGGCACTTGTTACTAGAAGCGATGCACTTGTTCCTAGTAGCGAACATTGTTACTACTAGTAAGGCACTTGATACTAGAAGCGATGCACTTGTTCCTAGTAGCAAAAAAAAGTCCTGCACCACCGACATAGAGTTGTTCGTGCGTGTATCTCAAAGGGGGCAAGAGGTTCTCCATCCACCTATCACCCACTTAGAAACCACATTTCACCAAAACATACCAAAATCTTGTTTGCGTGAAAGCCTTTTTTTGGGTGGGGGGTGTATGCTGTATGCCTGTATACCTCAGTTTGGCCCCCTTGTTCATGATCTCTGTGCTGACAGCTCCTGCAGTTGGTACAGTTGATCATGCATTCTGTGAAAGAGCTGGCGTCAGCAAGGTCAAGGGTAAGCATGTTACGGCAGATCTTAAGCTTATGATAGTTAATCAGGACACTCCAACCCGCACCCAACTTCAAACTCACAAATATTCACAATTGCCATGAATTGGAACATTTGCTGAGGTTGCACTCAGCACCTTGGCCGCAGCTGCATAGCCTGGTCACATCGTGATGGAGGGGAAATCGGAAAGTCCTTGTGTTATATGATGTCCTTCGAAATGGGCGGCTCCGGACGTGAAACCACAAGCAGCTCTGTGTCCGAAGAGCCTTCACCTTGATTCGCCACCAAGGTCGATGGTTGCAGTGACGGATAACCCTCACCTCACCAGTCAGATCCAGCGCTGGGATTGCTGCTTCAGCGACCCCAGTAACAACATTGCTTCCCCAGGCACTTCCACCTCTGTATATAGAGGTAATTATCAGGTATGCCATTTGTCCATCAAATTTGCCAAACACCACAGCAGAATAGCAGTCAGTTGTACTACATACTGCACTCCAGCTTTAGCCAATACTTGGCCGGTAATGCAGCTCAGAATTGCAAGCCTTTGAAAAAGCCTTCCGCAGCCATTCTGTGCCTGAATGTGACTGCAAATGCTTATTTCTGCTCATGTGGTCATGCAGTGCTGAACCTGACCAAGATTAAAGCACAAAAACACAAAGTGGCGACCGCTCGTCTGCAAGTTATAAAACTTTGCCGCCTGCATGTCCGTGGAGAATTATGCCTCTTGCCTGCCAAAGTTTCATTGTTGGGTACTTTAGGGGTGAGCTGCTTGATCCTAAATGTGACCCCTGCAAACCAACATCAAAAACACATGGTGGAGTCTGCCATCTGAACAGCATGTTTGTGATCAAAGAACTGCTCAATGCCTAGCGCTGGAGGGGCCCACAAGTGCACCTTTTGCGACACCTTTTTCACTCTTTGACAGTGGGCAATCTCTGAAGGTTGGCAAGCACAACAAAACATAAAAACACGCATGGTCTAGGTCTCGCTTTGATGTCATGCCAGCAGTTTTGGATGAACTCAGCTCAAGCACACCTCCAACGAATTGGGCCGACAAAGAGGCTGAAGGAGAAACGGGCCTCAGCCCAAACCCCATTCGGGGTGGGCCATGTCGACGTCACACTGTTCAAGGCAAAGTCGATTTTGGCATGTCTGCCGCTACCGGTCTTTACGCATCTTTGTGCTCAACATGGTCAACCTTGTCAACTTGTTGAGTAACACGGCATCTGACTCCTGTTGAGCAATGCCTCCAGTAACCCACATGAGCCACGAGTACTTAGGTTTATGAAATGCCAACACGAGATCTGACAGTCATTGACACATATGCCAAGGACATGTGTATATATATATATTTATTTATATCTATATATATGTTATATACGTATATACTGATGGGATGTAGACTGCTGGGATGGCAACGGTTTGGTTGAAACCCAGGCATTTGCAGTATCATAGGCTGGTTGAAACCCAGGCATTTGCAGTATCATAGGCACATAAGACTTTGTCTGTTGTCATACTTACATGGAACCTTATGTACATACCAGGAGCACGACAACTTCGGTACTTCACGTAAACATAGCAAACAGTGTCTGAGTGAATGAAGTGTTTCCGGTCCAATGTCTTTGCGGCATGAGCTTGTAAATCTCTTCTTGGGAAATGATGCCCCTTCGGCTCACGGTATTCGTATGTTCTGGTCAGCGCCGCAAAGACAATTCAATCTTTCGGGGAGGGGGAAGGTGGGAGGGGCCTCCAACCTACTAGCATCTACTAGCTTGTGTTGAGCAATGGCAGCCATACATGACCAACCATCAAATATCTTTTGTGAAAAGTATGCGAGAAACAAAAGCAAAACAAAAGCAAATGAAAATGCAAAACAATAGCAAAAGCAAAGCAAAAAGCAAAAACAACCGCAAACAATAAGCAAAAAACAAGAAGCGAAAATAAGGCGAACATAAAAGGCAACAAAGTGGAGCTTGCATGGTTACCGCTTTTGTCTCACATTTTTTCGTTGTTGTTTTTTTCACTTTGTTTGCTGCTTTTGTTTCGCTTTTTTCACCTTTTTCCTAGGAGCGTACAGCGAATATTGCTCACGGGTAAAAGTCTTCATAAGTGCAGAAGTGGTACCAGGAAACAAAAAGAAAAAGCAAAAACAATGCGAACAAATGTGAAAATAAAGCGGAAAACATGTGAACATAAAGCGGAAAAAAGTGAACAATAACGATAAACACGCAAAGCTATATGTTTTTGCTTTTTTGTTTGCTCTACCTGTTGCTTTTGCTTTTTGCTTTAAAACATTATTTTGGCTCCTTGTATCTATGGCTGGCGTGCCCGACTCAATACTAGCGATGGGGCTCATGATTGGCGTCCCCCACCTTTCTGAGGTCACGGCGCAAAGGTTGCACCCTTGCTTTGCAAGCTAATTTGTAGAAGCAACAACCTGCCGAGAATTGTTCGAAGGCATGGCCCATTGAGTCAAAGCTAATAGCTAGTTACAGCTAGGTGTTATCTTCATCGTCTTCATGCTCTGAGCTTTCACTCCATAAACACCCAGCTATGACAATCATGCTTTCATAACATCCCACGGCACACCATATAATTTTTGGTCTAGATTCTTGAGCCAAAAATCATTACAAATCAATGAGGTGATGGCTTTCTGCGATATCACGCAACCCCCAAACCCCATGGCGATCTAGTCTCATACTATTGAGGCTGTCGTTCACCTAAATGCTTCCCAAGGAACTTGAGGCACTCCTTTTGTGCCAAGCATGGAAATTGAAACAACATTAAATTTAGTTAGCTTCAAAAGTAAGCATTGGGCATCGGCCATTGGTCAAGCTGAAAGCAGCACGTGTCATCTCAATCTCATGCAGCCAAGATTGACTGAACACTCCTTTCTTGCAAACACATTACAGTTCTGACACAAGCATATGTCATGTATAACCTTGTTGATAAGGATAGCCAAGCCACATTCAACCAAAATGTAGTTGTACGTAATTTGCACCTGTTTCGGGCTTGGCGACAATATGTTGGTCGATCGATACTGCGAACTGAGGAGCCCTGCCAACAGAAGCCGCAATAAAACCTGACAAACAGGCAACACATCTGTGCCTAGCCTCACACACCCCGACACAACGTTCGAACACATTGTGACAAAAAGTGTGCAAACAAAGGACTTTGTGAGCACCTCATTGGCCCCGTGATGATCCAATGGCAAAGTGGCAAGGCCATACAGTACAGCGGAATACGAATCCCAAAAAAGCTTTGCTAGTGTGGTGTGCACCGATCGGCCTTGACCGGCCCCTGCAGAAAAACTGGCACCCCATTGCTCGCATTGCTGAAGCGTGCACAGCGCATGCAATGGCTTGGTTTTGCAAACAATTAGGCTTGGTGCGCTGCCGAGGGCAGTGCAAGTTTAATCATTCCAGCTTCTGAGGGCAGCGTGTTGTATTTCCCAATCATGTTGTCCGGTCTTTTCAACACGGCTGCGGAGTGATAGCTCCCGCTCCTGTATTGATTCGAGTCAACACTGTGCCACCGCAACCAGGAGCGGCTGGCGAGTACATTAGTTATTTTTGATGAGTATTACGGCATGGCATTACTATTGCCAAGTGACTTGACTGTGCAATATTCAGACACAAACAGCCACCCGCATACACATCATACACCAATCATGGAAGAGTCTTCCAGTGATCCTCTGTGGACTCTGGTGATGGGTGGTCGCCATTTCTTTCTAAGCTGTGTCCGCTCAGTGTTGTTCTTTCGGTCGGCGTTCACGCTTAAGCTAGTCAGACTGCATTGGTCCAACGCTGCAATAATGAGTGCTGAGTGCGAACTTCGGGTGGAAGGGCTGGGTCCGCAAAAGGTCCCGGCATCACAGTACGATTTGAACCAGAACTCTCAATGCTGTTTTATTTGTGGGTGGTTGACCTCCATGCAATGCCACTACTACACACTGCAAACCAAACTCCAAACGTTTTGCAGAGTGAACCTCTGTTTCGAGGTCAATCTGGTTGGCACAAGCCAGGAAATAACAAGTTCTTCGGGTGAGCATGGCAGTCCGCAAGCTCAACAGGAATTGGGAGATTCTCTGCAAATAGCGACTTGGATGGAAAGTCGGCTGACTGTTGAACTCACCCGTGATATTTATTGGGTACTGTGGCCCAACATGCTCAACGCAACTAAAACCCTCTTGAGCAAATTGACAGGAAAATGGAGTCGGCATCGTGGGCTACAGTTTTGTTACAAATCTATCCACATGCCGGTACCATCTGGTCTGATACCAATCCTTATGAGACTGAAAAACCGCCGTGGCGTCTGCCATTCGTGGCACACACCACTCTTTGCAAGAAGCTGTGAACGAACTGGCAAAGCTGCAGAAGATTGGCATCACCTGCCCATGCACAGGAGGAGCGGCGTGTAGGGTAGTACGGTGCATAATGGCAACTACCTTTGGCTCGCATACTATTACTAGTACGTTGAATTTCAAAACCGACGAAAATAGCCACATACCGTGCACACACACACAGAAGTGGATCCTGAAGTATTCCGAATGTCGATTGCTATTGATGCTGGTGCAACAAAAACTGAGATGAAAGTTTAAAGAGTGGCCGAGCCCATACATAGAATGAAGTGGGGCGACATACACACTTGAGCATCATGCAAAATACTACATCTTTGGTTCCATTTTCACAAGCATGACTTCCTTGGACATGTCCGAACAAAGGACTCAAAACTGGCAGTTACGCGCACATTTAGATGTCGGAATTTGATGGTCAGCTTCCAGGCACGGACCTCTGCTTGACAATAAGCTGAACATTGCGTAAGAAAAGGGGAGGATGTTTGGTCCCCTTAATAAGGTCCCCTTTTTTTGGACGGCCGTTTTTCTCAGCTTCCAGGACAGGGCTTTCTCCCTTGACAAGGAACATTCCAGACTGTCCTTCATCCGCCCAGAAAATGCAGCCAGGCAGATCAAGACCACAGTAGGTCTGCCACTGATCCACTCAGAAAGCTGAAGACGAGTTTCAAGTTCTCATGCGGCAACGCCTCGGGTACACTTTGCACAATGGTCGTGAAGAAGACTGACTCATGATGGAGGACAATTGGGAGCTTCTTTGAGCAGTCCAGAACAAACCCTCTGCTAGGTGGCCTGGGGCCTAATACAAGCTGCAAAGCGTCCTTTCAAACGCTTTTTAATGGCTTGCTTGACTTCTTGAGGTTGCAGGCTAGGCTAGCATCAGCTATAAAATATAGTGAATCCATCTGCTCGTGACTTCTTCGTGAGCTATATCATTTAATGAAAAATCTGGACATACTAAAACAGCATGAGTTCTTTAGGTGATGTTTATGGCTCATGTCCAACGCATTTCATTCATTTGGGGCAGTTGGCCCTCGGGGATCCTTGGGTTCCCCAGGCACCCTATTTGCTGCTTCAGGCGCCACGATGCCTCTCACTGTCCTCTGGATCAAGGCCGTCGGCCCGCTTTGCAGGCGCAAGACCACCTGGTGGCGACAGCTCGGAGGCCAAGGTGGATGATAAGTAGGGATTGATTATTAATTCTGATGGGTTATGTACAATGTGTATGTATATGTTATATATATATAATATGTATGCGATTCTGGGATTCTTCCTGTGCAAGAACTCGCAAGCAATGGGCCAAGAAGCTGCGCAAGAAGGGGAAGAAATGGGAAGGGTGGTCTTGAGCACGCCATGCCCACAGCCCACCCTGCCTGGCGTGGTTGAGTATCATCCCCGAGATGGCCCCCGTGCACCCAAAGCTCATCGTGGGAGATCCACCCAGCGGCATTGCCACGCCACAGGGGCCGGCCCTGCATGGTCGGAGCTATCTTCCACTCCTGCCGTTGAAGATCGAACCTCAACTGCAGCTGTGGGACTCTGTGACTGTGAGGTTGTTGAGACACCTTTGATGAATCAGGATGAATCAGCACCCTTGGTCGGAGTTTGCTCTATCAACTATTCACGCATGGTAAGTGCACTCCCAACTGCTGATTTCGCCAGGGAAAATGCTGGGGGCCATAGAATGTCCAAGACACACGTAGAGGCCATACTTCTTCGATGAGCGCCCCCTTCCCTGGCCAAGAACCATAAGCTTCATCTCGTGTAGGCCTAAAATGCTCCTGGACGACTTCACCTTGGCAGTCTGACAAGTTCAAGCATGTTTCACCCACCAGGTCAACTTACCTTGTCACAATGGCAAAGCTTTGGCTATTATTGGCTTGAGGTTGCCTTGGGGGTTTTCTTGTGCCCTGCGATGGTGGTATGCTCCGGATATGCCCCAGACCATCCTCCAGCACTGTGGCTCCTGCCGCAGCCAATCTCGGAAGCTTTTCCGCACCCCACCCAACCTGACCAACCACCCTTTCAAGGCGCTCGGAAATGCTGTTCTTGCAAGGCCTCCACGGGCGGGGGAGGCTCGCTCAAGTTGCTTGGGCGGAGCTCCTGCCAAGTATAGTTTACCAAGTCGAGCATCCAAACGTCGTTGAACTGATGGTGAGCATCCGCCCCGCCATAGACTACCATCTTTGATCCTGAGTTAAGTCTGTCGGACAGGACCACTATATAATCATCCCGCTCCAACACTGCAAGAGTAGAAGAGCTGTTGAAACCTTATCACACAATCAAACGGCTAACCTCGGCTCAATTCCTTGAACCCTGCTGCCTGGCCTTCCAACCTAGCGAAACATTGTATTGGTATTGAACGATGCAATCTTCTTGTCATCTCAACTCCAACACCATCACCTGATATGACCATGTCTCTGCGCTGCATGGTGTTGCACCAACACATCTCGAAAGCCTCCAGCAACTGGTTTTAAACAACTTATTCTTCTTCTTATCACCAAGTCTGTAGTTTGTGAGGTCTGCTTTGGCCTATGAAAGGCCCATCGAAATCTCCAAGACTCCAACCAACACAGCCCCATGCTGAGCCCGGGGAGCTGGGGCATTGCCCTTTACCAGAGCTGGCAGCCAGCCTGCGCCAAGAGCGTCTCAAAACCCAAAAAAAAGTCCGGACGGCCTATATATAGTTTAAAAAACATACATACATATATATATATATAATCCCGTCCCCTTCACCGTCCCCTTCACTCTACCATCTACTGCCCCAGAACCACTAGTTGAATCTGCTCTTGTTTGGGATCATCTGCGGGTTCTCCCAATTTTTGCAAAATAAGGCAGGGGGTCGCACCCATCATGTCTGTTATGGCTGCTGCCATGAAGCTGCCCTTCAGCTGTCTCCACAATGCTGCCCGTGTCATGCAAAGGGGAGACGTGGATAGTTAGTGTGGGCCAGTCAAGTCAAGATGCATCCGGCACTGAACTTCCAACGTGGCATGCTACAAGTGTGCTGCACAGAGTACGTTTGCGAAACATGAGCTGCCAAATGCTGTGCTTTGGGCCGGGCGGAGATACAGTAAACAAACGAGGTACTAGTACCAAAAGGTTTGTGCAAAGCCAAATCCACGCGCATGACTGCACGAGTGCATGATAGGAATCGTTGTCTACAAAGACCTTTGGCAGCACGTGACGATCAGTTTATCACCTTGCCTGGAGTTTCTTCAGATGGATCAGCATAGTCGAGAACGTGAACCTCAGGTCCATGGCAGCAGTGGCAGTTGCATAAACCATGAGTTTCCTTAAGCTGAATAAAATCTTTTGCACACACAACTCCGTACCACACACATACGTACAAGCGGCGTACTTAAGTCAAACCACGTCGCGTGAAGTCAACTCACTGCATGGGCACAAGGTTTCAGCGAGAAGTCAGCCCACTCGCGTGAAGTCGACTCATTTTGGTCAAAGCACAATGGGCACACTTGAAAAATGAGCACGGCAGAAAAGTGATATGTTCAAGGAAAAGTGTGCGCACACTGTGTTATGGCAGGCAATTGGCCTTGCTTTCTAGATGTTTCAAGCCCAAATCTCAATGGCACAGCACCATTCAGCGCGAGCACTACTCTTACCTTCGTCCTATACATCTTCCTACGGTCAACCAAAACAGAAGCAGCAGGAGCTCTGCACCAAAACTGTCACAAAGCCTTGACCCTTCACCCCTGTGGAAGCTGCCCTCCCCCGAAGAACAGATTCATAAATACAAAAACGTGACAATCAGGCACACCATGGGCACAACACAAAACATGTGTTATAGATCAATACAATCTATGCTTAGACATCCCTGTGGAGTGCAGTTCTGCAAGGGCACACGGTTTCGAGTCGACTTTACACAAGCTGAGTCGACTTAACGCTAGTACCTAGTATTTAAACAGAAATGCATTGCAATGTAGCTATGCCCAAAAAGTTCATATGGTTGAACCAAAGAAAACACGCCAGGCTAACACATCGATTGATTGCATCAGACCTCTTTTAGTGACGAAAACCGTCTTGTTTCCTTCTTTAGACGACCTTGGATTTCACAGCCTGCTCAGTCGAGAAGCATCATTGTAGTACTCATATGGCCCATTCACACAGCACTGCCCTCCAAAGAGCACGATGCAGCTGGTGGCGTCATCGAAGACAATTGAGTGGTATGCACCAAAAATAAGCAAGTCATCGCAAAGATCAACAAAGCTGCCGTCCTGCATGATAATAATAATGTGTATGTGCATGTATCTATGTGTATATTATGTGTGTGTTTGTGTTGTGTTCTTCAGTCGCTATATGTCGCTATAAACGGACCTGCCCTGAGGACAACACGTTCAAACAAGTTTGTGGAGGCACATGATGGACGACACATCACAAGGAAGCGCAATGCCAACAGCCAAACAGTTCCGGAGGACAGTTGTCAGCGGGTCCTCAGTGTCCAAGCCCCAAGTGTCTCGCAGATTGTGCTTCTGATCAAAGCCGCCCACAACAAGAAGCAAAGCTCCTGGTGGAGGACTGGAACTAGTTAATTGGGTTTACTCGTTCCTTCAGATGGCCCTCGACATGGTATAGACGTCAGTGTGTGCCATCTGAACTCGTGCAATGCCAAAAGCAAACTTGGCTTGGCCTTGGGGCCATATTTCACGTCAGTGATGCTGGGTTCCAGTATCTTTGAGTCTCCTAATGAATCTGCACCAACTGCAGTAGCAACAGGATACTGTAGCTGTCTTTCAGGTATTCTGATAAGGGTGCCACACCAAAGCCCACTTGGTTGGGCAAAAGTGCCCTGTGGCAGGCTACCATTGTATATTGTGAGTCGCTCCTAGGGCGACAAAATGCGACAAGTAAGGGGGAAAAGCACGCACAAGCACATGTTATCATATCATATGACATCATAATCCATCTTTGTTACCGCCCTCTCTTTATATTATAAAACTACAATCAATATTAATTACAGTAACTACTATATATTGTCTTCAGAATTGCCAGGTGCACACAGGACTTGCATGCCAAAATTAAAGACAGCTTCAACCCTGATGCGCGGACAATGGGCCTGGCACCTCGCACACAGAATGGCCCCAGCGTGCGCAAGGAGCATAACTACTGTCTGCAGGGCTGCGATTGGACCAAGTCAGTGTCTTTGGACAAAAGCAGTGCCTGAGTTGGTCAGAAAGGGTCTTGCACAAAGGGCACAAGGCTTTGAGGCTGTGAATGCAGCTAAGACCTCGACACGCTGATGCGCTTTCCCGATTGGTTCTTGCCACCCAGGACCCACACTGTGTCACCAACCACAGAGGCTGAATGACCATAGACCTCCTGGGCAGCTTGTTGGTTTGAGCTCTGATATTGAAGAGTTCAAGCATCCTCGGAATCGCCCCGCAGGCCAAGGTTTAAACAAGCTTGGTATCAAGACACTGAGGTTGAAATGTCGAATCACGCTGCTTTGTCCCGAAACTTTGGTTCATTGGTTGTGCCTAAGCTTTGTCCCTTTTTCAACGACTTTGATGTCTGGGCTGTCCCTGTCTTGGAAGCTGCCAGGCTGTGACCACAAGAAATCAGCACAAAGAGAACCCGCACGTGGCAGCTGCAAGGGTTGCGTCCACTCGATGGGCTCACAGGGAGGCTCCATGCGTCCGGGAATTGTTAGATGCTTTGAGACTGAGACGGAACCGGATTCTCTTGCCACACATGGAAATTCTCTACTTGCGAATTACGGCATGGAAATTAAACACGAAACTTAACGCCTTTTGACAATTGCATCTATATTGGAAAGTTGCAATTTCTATACGCAGGTCTGCCAACAATTATATAGTTATATAATATATAACAATGGTGTGTTATGGTGTGTTGCAACTCGGTTGTAACCAATAGCTGCAGGGACACAGTGTAGGTTGTCGATTAAGCACGCGCTTTTGGTTCATGTGCCAGGTTCTCGCAGGCGGAGTCCGCTAAACTTGAGCATGTCAAGTCAAGTCAATGCGAAAATACCACCCTGACACGATGCTTCAAAAAGCAACCCCCTCAAATTCCTACATTCCCGCATCTGTTGTCAACAGCCCTTGAGAAAAGAATCTGCCATTTGTCGTAGCCCAACACTGAGCTTTTTTCCTTAGGGCGCCCATCGGTGAGACTTTGGCGCGAATGGTGAAACGATTATGGGAGCTACAGTGTACATTGGTACATCCCCGTTGATATTTAGGGTGAGGGGTCGGGGTCCCTATTTGGTAG